GCTTGTATGGAAGGGAAATAACTATTGGGACTGGCTGGAAAACAATATTTCTGTTTTGATACTTGGTTTCATTCCAAAGTGGAATATATGACAGAAGAGAAAGAGAAGACCAGTGGTTAGGGCACTCGCCTGGGATGGGGGAGACTGAGGTTCAAATCTCTCCTCTGCCTTTTTTGGCAAAGAGACTTGAACCTGGGTCTCCCATATTGTAGTTGAGTGTCCTAATCGCTGGGTCATACAGTCTCTCTCTTTCCCTCTCGTTGGAACTGTTCCATTTTGTATAATAAAATATTCATTCAGAGAGAGAGACTAACTCTATAGCCCAGTAGTTAGGACATTCATATGGGATGTGGGAGACCCAGGATCAAGTCCCTGGAGTTAGGCAAAGCAAGATTCAAGTGGCTGCTCTGCCTAATTTAGGGGACTCGATCATGGGTCTCCTGCATCCCAGGTAAGTGCCCTAACTATCCGGCAACTGGCTAATCTGAGGTGTCTCTGTCTCTCCTGCAGGTGCCTGAAACCCAGTCAGGCCTGCAGTGTGTATACCAACCACTTACCACAAGGTAGTGTATCTGGGTCCTGATCTAAAAATGGAAGAACTGGGAGATTCCACCCTGAGACTAGTAAGGGCAAAATATCTGAGGAGGGAGGGTTGCACTCAGAGAGACCAGACAGGGAACAGTGGTGCAGCTAGCCCTGTAACCACAATTCCCTTCCAAAGAACAAATGCTATATGAAACGACGTGTCTGCACTATCTGTGCTCCTTCAGACGCTCCCAGTTCAGAAATGGCTAGAGTTCACCAGATCACTTTGATTCCTCTCTAAGTATCAGGCCAAATCCTGCTCACCTTACTCATGAGTCCCACTGAAGTTAATCTAGTGTCTGTTTTTAGTGATGGAAGTAAACAGTTCATGATCTATTCTGTCTGCCCACCTCATGGGTGGTGATGAAAAAATACAGAAATCCTAGGAGAAAAGGTTCAGAAAAGAATCTCGTGGCTCCAGAGGGACTGAATGGCTCTTTGGTACAATTTGCTGCAGGTTGTTATAATTTTAATAGCATTTCGATCAACAGTCACACCTTATAATGCACAGCTACCAAATCTATTTTTCCCCTCAAAGGTAAATTGCTCACATTTTAAGAGATTTACAAAACATTTACCTATCTTTGGTAAAAATGCTTTGTCTGAATACTAACATGGTAACAGAAGATGCTGATGTAATAGTTTTATATCCACAACATGTTGCTGATATATTTTTACTTTGGAAGAGTAGGGGGGGAAAGCTTATGTAAAGAAAGGACTGGTAATTGATCACCACCTTCTGGAGACAAACATACAATATCTGTGTCAAGACAGACTTCCATTTGAATACAAAAACAGTAGTCCTCACATATCCATTATTTCCATGAAGACTTTCATTGTGCATACAAAATAAAAGAGCATGGTATTTCATTATGGAGTCTGATCCCCTGAAGATGGTAGTTCTCTTGGGTCAAGCTGATGAAACAGTTGTTATAGCTGCCTGAAAAACATTACAGCACAGGTTGCTAGTCATAGTGCCAATTCTTTACGTTTCACTTGCACTCAGATTTCTAAAGACATACTGATCCTATGTTTATAGGACAAAAAGGTATGTTATCGAGCTAATTTCTTCATAAATCCCAAAATCTTCTACATTTCCTTCTGTTGATAATACAAACGTAAATTGTCCAAAATTAAATGTAAATGTAAATATTACTTATTATAATATTTCTCTCTTTGATCAATATAACAGAGGTCACTAGAATCCTGTGGCACTCCAGGGCTAATTTTTATATTGGCCTCAGTTACAGCCCATAGCATTGCTGCAGCAAGTGCTATGAAATTTGGCAAATTAATTTATCTTTGATAAGAATCTTAGAATCAGAATGAATATACTACACCAATGATATATAACATGGTTTAAAAGGTACTAATAGTAGTATGCAGTGGTCATTAATTCTGCTTGGCAATCTGTGTCGTTCCATCGTACAGCCTGGGGAATGTCAGGCACTGTGCTGGTACACTTTTTCATTTCAGTAGGTGTATCTTTATTGTCTGTGGAAATCCAGAGGTGGGAGCAAGCCATCCATTTCACTGAAGACAACAGGAGCCAAGTCAGTAGGCCATCTTTCCCCATACACATTTCAGTAAACATAGGGGATGGCAAAGTAGAGGATAGACTGAACTTGTTGGAAATGGCAAGTTCCTGTGAGGATGGGGGTGACCTAGCCTGATTCTTGTTGGTTTTGCTGAATCACTCTGTGAATCTGACCATGTTTTAAGTTAACGAAACTTTCACACAGATCTAAATAGCTCTTACAGATCCATTTAGTTAGCCCCTCTTTGAAGTATCTTTTAGAAACAGTACATGTGGTTTAGCAGTGGATGCCTTCTCATTTTCTGGAGTAAATCAATAAAAAATATGAACAAGAAATAAGAACCTGGATGTTTCAGTTTCCCCGTTGCGAAAGCCCCATCTATCAGATGAGCAATTTTACTAACGATGAGTGACAAACTACATAATTACAGCAGTTCTGTGTATATTTACATGACACTCTCTTTTTGTTGCTGTTTTGTAACCCTGATAGGGAGACCAGCTCCAAACACGAAGTCTAGATCTGGTGTAGATGGGGATTTCTGTTTTTTTCAGTTTTATTTTTGTGACTTGCAGTATGGATTAACAATAAAACCAAAAGCAAAGTACATATGTTCTAAATTATCAGCATGTAGATAATATAGGAGTCACTATAAGCACTGAGCTCTAAAGATTAATACTATATTAAATTGTGATGACTTTCTTTACTATGTTAAAGGCAGATTAGGATCATGCTATATAAAAGGTAAGGGAAACCCAAGAATTTTCACTTTGTGTGATCAGTACAACAGTTGAGGATCTGATTAAATCTACGTTGCAATTGTCAGTAGTCTGTGTCGCCAGTGTCCAAGACTAGTGGAAATTGGCAGGCAGAATGAACATTGTGAAATGGGAAGGCATTTTTATTTTTAAAAATCTTTCATTACACATGCAGAATTTCCAAGGAAAACCCTCCTGCAATATCATCTTAGCCTGCACATCTTTACTTGAACAAATATTTAATAAAATGGCCAGTTTTAAGAAAATCTCAATCTCCGTTTCAGATTGAAGTTGTCTCTCATCTTCTATTGTAAGTTACTGAGGATAAGAACTGTTTCTCTCACTTCTACAATATGATTCCTTTATGAGTTTAATGTCGTAGTACAAGAAGTCATTTTACTTTCAGCATTGTGCTTTGATTAGCAGAAAAATGGTGGTAATGATGGTAACTGAGCTACTACTGGTAATCTTGTATTTTCTGCATACAGTTTTAGAAGAAAAGTTTTGTATGAGAGTGATTGCTCTTTCATAATGTGTATTGTTTGAAAAATCAGTATGGCATACGTAAAAGAAGGAACCAACCACTGAAAGAAACACAAATGTATTGAATAACTGGTTGTTACGTTACAAGGAATACACATTTAGAAGCCAATCGGTTTCCTTCTGCAGCAGAGCACATAAATGTTCAGACATTTTAGAAATACGTTGTTTTGCAGAAATTGGACCAAAGCCTCTTGGAGATATCCATGGTCTTTGTTTCAAGGAGGACGTAATTATTTCACCACTGAAAGTCACCTGAAAGGCACAATATGAATTTTTACTGTAATCTGTAATAAATTTCACTGAAGATTATTATTTTTGTTATCTGATGTATCAAATGGCTCCAATATGAAGAGTGGTGTGACAAATACAGCTCGTACACGCACTTGAAAAACTGATAGTTTTTAAATACCGTCTGGGTCCTATGGTACCCAAAGGTAACATCCATCCACCCATAGTTTAAACCAACCAGCGAGTGGATGGATCTTGCGCCACAGTATTTCTATACTGTAAAATTCTTAAATATAAGTTTTTATCTCCAAACAGTATGGCTGGGAAACATGTTTTGAGTAGTCTGACTGTATAGTGAATACAGTGTGTAGCCCCTTTTAGGTGGAATGTGCCTTAGTAGAAGGATCTTGGACGTGCTGGAAATAGAGTGTGAAGCTGGTTGTAATGCAGAACAGATCCTGGCTGAATTAGTAACCCAGAGGCTTTACCTCAATCTCGAAGACTCTATGGCTATGTCTTCACTGCAAAAAAAGGTGTGTTTTTACATAGTTATCCCTTTTATACAAAGTGCTAGTGAAGACAGGGCACAGGCAGTTTTTTAACTAGTCAAGGTAAACACTGCGGGGGGGCGGGGGTGCAGTCATATAGAGTTGACTTTGACTAGCTGCATCAGGGTAAAAGCTACCTGTATGCTGTTTCTGCTAGGACTTTGTCAAGAAGATAATCTCTATTTAACCCTCCCCCCCAAAACAAGCCCCCCACAGGGCACCTCCCCCCTTTTTTTTCAGTTAAGACAAAGCTGGTATGAGACAAGAACATCTCCATCTCAAAGCATGTGCGCGTGTTCTGTATGAACCTAAGATATGAATAAACTGTTATTCAGGAAACCCACAGCCACATTTTAAAAGGTATGTAGACACTTTGGAAAATCTCACTAGGTGCCTATCTGCGTCTTTAGGTGCCTAAAGACCTTTAAAATGTGGCCAGTAATGCATGGTGAATCTGAAAACCAGCTACTCTTTTATCTTTGACTTATTTGGAGTACCAGTCAGGGTGTTCCTCTATCACAGGCATCTTTTAAAAACAAAAACAAAAACTACCCCCCAAAAACAAACAGCCAACTGCCTAGAAAATGAGGCAGAACTTTGTAGACTTTCGTAACTTGTAAATAAAGAAACTGCAGTGTTAAGTCACATATGTTTAACTTAGAAATATTTGACTTCCTTATTGAACCTTTTGACCTTTGAGTAAAAAATAGACAAGCATATTCAGGCTTGTAAACATATCTTTAGTAATGATGGGCTAGCTGTGATGTATTGTTTTCCTCTCTCTCTCTCTCTCTCTCTCTCAGATAAAGAAGAGGCAGCAAGATGTGATACGATTTCTGGAAGCCAACAGGATAGATTTTGAAGAGGTGGATATCACAATGTCGGAGGAGCAAAGACAATGGATGTATAAAAATATTCCTGAGGAAAGACAGCCTGCACAGGGCAATCCGCTGCCACCCCAGATATTTAATGATGATCAGTACTGTGGAGTAAGTAGCTTTGTGGTCCAGACTGGTTACGTTAAGTTAGTGTTGACCATTGTGAAGTCAGCATTTTCCAGTGTGCACAACATATTATGGGAGATAACTGTACTAACCTGGCAAGTGTTGACAGTTCAATGGTGACCATTGAATTTTAATTCATTTTCCACTAAAAGTCTTCCCTTCACAAACATTTCAAGAATTCTTATGCAGAATGATGAATGGACACACTGATGAAGCACAACTTTGAAGGCAGAGCAGTTGGTGAGATTATCAGAACCTAGAGATGCCCTGTTTTGCTGCTGTTCAGTGATATTTTTTTTATGATGCTAATATATGATTCTGAGAAAGGAATAGTCAGTACCCCAACTGAGAGCACTGGAGCTACTGCCTGAGACTCTCGTTTACAGTAAGACTCCTTTACACTGCCCCGGTAGGGCAAGATACATTTACCCCCACTTTGAGGCCCATTTACACTGGAATTATAAGGGATTTTAGCATAAATGAGAACTGTATTATTTAAAAATTAGTTCCTGGCTTTCTTCAGGAGACAATAAAATTAAGACTCGCCTTCCTTTACTGAAAATGGGGAAGGTTTTTATTAAGCATGAGAATTTATCACTCTGACAACAGTTTGCAGGCTAGATCCTCTGCTGTTATAATCTGTCATAGGTCCATTGATTCCAGAGGAGTTTATGCCAGTATACAGCGGCTGAGGAGAAGGCCTTATCATTTTAATTTAAGAAGAATGGCCTAATATGGAATTTTTTATCATCTTTTTAAACAGTACTGCAAATGGTAGGCCAGATTCTCCCCTGACACTGTTGTAGATCAGGAGTAACTGTGTTGAATACAAAGTCATCACTGTCAAACTAGTGCAAAAAGTGGAGAGTTGGGGCTTGTCAATACATGGCAGCTTTTCATCTCTTGCTTCTTCAATCCCTTGACCAGTGCATCCTTTAGGAGGTGGGGTGTGCATATTGGCTGGTTGGGAGATCAGTAGGTTTGACTGTTGGATGACATGTCCCCAGGGACATAACTGGAGGCAGACAGGGGTTGTGTTTGTGGGTTGATGCAGCAGGAAGGTGAGATGGGTGGATGTATTTTCATGATTGAAACATCTGGGAGATAGGTTGAAATGGATGTCTGGTTTATAGGGTGCAATGTGTTAAGGCAGGTGGATGTCTGGTGGAGGTGGGTATCAAGCGGGTCAAAGCATCTGGGAGATGATTCAACCCTTAATCTAACAGATGGGGTGGTGGAAAGGTTTGTGCATTTGATAGATGGGTGAGCTTCATTGTGTGGGGAAGAAGGGTAACAGCAGTTGGTCTTCAGCCATACTATGTCATAGTCATAGAATATCAGGGTTTGAAGGGACCTCAGGAGGTCATCTAGTCCAACACCCTGCTCAAAGCAGGGCCAATCCCCAATTTTTGCCCCAGTTCCCTAAATGGCCCCCTCAAGGATTGAACTCACAACCCTGGGTTTAGCAGGCCAATGCTCAAACCGCTGAGCTATCCCATGTGTGGCACGTTGTTTGTTCCTATTTATTTGCACTGGGGTAGCTCTAATCCCAGCTGTGTGAATTGTGTCCAAATAATGCAGTGTGCAACAGGTCCATTGGAAGGGATAAGCATGTATTTTTCACATGTTCCTAGGATATGAGGGGATACTTGTGGCCCTCTCCCTTATGTACCGTGGAAGTTCCACAAGTATACAAAACTTGGTTCATTTGGGGAAGGAATGTGAAATTTTTGGGGATGCTAATTTTGCATCTTTTTTGGGGTTCTTTTTATTAGTGTATTTAAGCATGTTTTATAATAACTAGCTAACTCCAAACACAAGTTGTGTTTAACTAGATGGAAAGAGTCTTCCATGTGTCATGAAAATCATCTTGTTGCTATATCTGTGCAGTTGCTATCTGGTTTTTTTTTTGAGCAGACCTAATTCTGTTACTGTTGCTAGACTGTACAATCTGTGTGAACAACTTTAAAGAGCAGCTTTACTTTGAAAAGAGATTTGGACTGTGTCTTTGCTAACAAAAAGATGTTTACACCATGAGATAACTAACACACATTCGTAATGCTGCTGTAAAAACATAATGGAGCCACTTTAGTTTTACAGGGAGGTAAACTAGCCAAGATCAAGGGGTGGGGGGCAAGGGAGGTGTATAGTGCTGATCTTGCCTAGGAACCTCCCAATAAACACTAGAAGTGTCTTGTCTCCACTTGGGATTTCATAGTGAGCTAACTGTTGTGTGTTTAGTTTTCTTGCTGTCAAAACACACACATTTTAATGTCCTTGAAGACAAAGCCTTAGTGAAAATGGCAGTGTAGGGTTCAATTTTTTGTGTGTCGTAGTGATTTTTAAATCCAATGTGCTCAGCTTACAAAGGTCTGCTCCGTTTTTCCAACTGCCTGGTCCGCAAACTCAACATGGCAACAGGAAGCTAACTTGGGTATTTTTTCCTCTGACTTAGGCATTATCACCAGCAATAAAAACTATATAGGCCAGATCTGCTTGTGATTAGCTATGCAACCCTCTTATCTGATTCTGTGGATTGTCTTTTCTTCATGCATTTGGGTGAGAGGAAAAAAGCTAACCAGATGCAGGTTTTTCTAGATTGATTCACTAGGGTTGCACAGGTGGGCACGGTTCTACCATTGGACCCAACTGCTGATGTACAAGCCACTATAGAGACAAGGTCACTTGAATAGAAGTCGTGTTAGTCTGTATGCATCCGATGAAGTGAGCTGTAGCTCACGAAAGCTTGTGCTCAAATAAATTTTAGTCTCTAAGGTGCCACGAGTACTCCTTTTCTTTTTTTGAATAGAAGTGTAAGCTCTATAGTGATGATTAGTAAAAAGTAATGTAAGCTCTCCCTCCCCCCCCGCATTGGTAAAAATCAGCAGACACGACTATGAATACACACTGGCACTAGACCTGCTAAGTAGGAAGGTGGCTTTTGAACTAGTCACTTTTCAGAGTATAATTGCTCTCTAAAGGGAATATTTATTCAGTGTTTACATTAGATATCTTGGAGATTAAAGTGACTGAAGCAGACCTGTTCTGGTATCGTGTCTCTAACCGTACCTAATGCTGAATAGTTCACAAGATGCAAAACAAACATGACACACCTAATTGTGCAGTACTGTACCACCACCTGCTGATTAGCTCCTGCCCTGAAGTGCACAGACTCAGAGCCCTTGAAACTGTGTCTGAACTGGTTTAACTGTAGATGTCCTCATAGATCTGCCTAGTGCTATTTCAATCTCTGAGATCTCTGCCTCACAATTGCTCAGTAGCGAGCTCCACTAGTGGGATGTTGCAATAAAAACACTGCCTATAGTCTGCAAGTAAAATTCTTAGACTGTTGGCAGCCCTAAGCCCACATCAACATGAATCATTTAACTAAAGTCCAATTTTGGTGCTAGTGCTTCTTACTATTGTAGTCATTTATATGTGTTGCCTCGTTCCAGGGACGTTATTATAGCATCATAGATGTGTGGGGCACTTGAGACAAAAAAGAGACATGAGGACCAGCTTCATTCATTTACACTGGTTTAAATGGGTAACTACTTCGGTGTAGTTACTCTAGCTTACACCATGTAAATGAGAGAAGTTGGCACATAGCTCCTGCCCCAAGGAGTTTATAGTCTGTTTGATATTGCAGAAAGAAAGGAAACACCAGAGTCATTTGAGAGAAGAACTAAGTGAGTAGAGTACCATGGTTGCAATAATATACAGCCATTTTCCCCAGATGGGGTGCTTGGTATCAGTGGGAGAACTTCAGAACTAGAAGGATCATTTTTAATTTCAGCTTAATGCTTAGGTAGGTGAGTGAACAGGATCCAGTTGACTGGAAATGGTCTACCCAGTCTAAAATTTTTTGTGTTCAGGATTACTCATTGCTCTGATGACGTAGCACTAGCGCTCATGCTTTAAATGAGACTTTCATTGATCTGATATAGGTTTTTTTGAAAACAAAAAATTTTAAAATAGGGAATTCCACTGTGTTCGGTTACCTAAATAAGAGCAGGCTTTGAACTCTTCTTGCTCTCCCTGCCCCCTCGCCCCCCCCCCCCCCGCTCCAGCCCCCTAACCATTCTAGGGGGAAAGATAAGTAACTAAAAACACTTTTAAAAGCAATTCTATAAACTTTTTTTGCATTTAACAAAAATCAGTCGCTAAGTCTCTAAATTGGTCAATATAGAAGTTTTAGAACAAGGATTATACTACGTAAAAACTTCAGTGATGCTTCATATTTTAATCCCTGATTGAAACAGACCAGCGCTGCTTTTATTTGAGCAATAAAATGTCCCTGCTAAGTAGGCCATGCCTTAGTTGCCAGTGTGTTGGCTCCTGAAATACTGATCTGTATAATTACATTATTCTTACTATTGGTTGTCAGCATGCTACTTGGCTGTCCTTGATTTATCAGCATGCACCTGTGCAACTGAAGATGTCACAAACGTTTTTTCTGGGCTGTCTGTTTCTGCCTGCTCAAGGAGCAAATGTTCTGATGATACAAGTGAAGGCAAGAGGATTCCGTAAATCTACCTGTTCAGTATGTCACATTTTAAGGTTATGCATGTAATGTTTCCAAACATTACTGAGCTCCAGTGGAGTAAGAAGACCATGCAGGAAAATAATAAATGTACTGAAGAAAATGTTGTTTTAACAGCAAGATAAAAATTCAGAAAGTTGAATATAGTGTTCATGAATTCCAAAACATGATTCTTTCATGATTTTCAAAAAGAAAAGGAGTACTTGTGGCACCTTAGAGACCAACAAATATATCAAATAAATTTGTTGGTCTCTAAGGTGCCACAAGTACTCCTTTTCCTTTTGCGAATACAGACTGACACGGCTGCTCCTCTGAAAGCTTTCATGATTCTGTAATTTATAGTGCGTATCACCATTATATATACACGCACACAATGATGTGGTGTGGTAGTATAAAAATGAAACCACTTTGTAGTTATGATTGCTGGTAAACCTTTATAGTA